TGGGCATCCACAGCGGAAGCGCCACACTCCTCTCCTCCCCGCTTCACTCTTCTCCTTTGCACCGTGTTTTCCCTATTCCATTTCACGCCCCATTACTATTTCCCTGGACAATAAAGACAGTTTCTTACCTGATCTCGGAAACTCCAGTCCCTCCTCTCCCCAACACTTCACACTCTTCTGAAAACACACCTCTGACCTTGTCATTTTCATTAAAAAAATAAAAAAATCTTCAGTGCCCTGATCACACTTATCTGGCTACGTGAGAATCGGTAAGGAGCTAATTAAAAATACAGATTTCCAGATCTCACCACCCACAGAATCTGAATCTCTGGGCAATGAAAATCTCCAGGACAGCCTCCGGGACAGTTTGGTTGGGGACCTGCTGGCCTAGAAGATAAACCCAACTCCTGAGGCTGGTATCCAGGTCTCTCTGCAATTTGGCAGCTGATTACCATTAAAACAAATGATGTAGCTGACCTGGGCCCCTACAAAGTCTTAGTAACAGTTTAACAGTTTTTACCAATTGCATTACTTTTTCCTTTTTTGAGACAGGGCCTCACTCTGTGGCCCAGGCTGGCATGCATCGGCATCATCATAGCTCACTGCAGCCTCAAAGTCCTGGGCTCAAACAATCCTCCTGCCTTGCTTCCTAAGTGGCTGAGACTGCAGGCACTTGCCATCACACTCCGCTAATTTTCTTTTTGATTTTTTGTAGGGACGGGGTCTCGCTATGTTTCCCAGGATGTTATTGAACTCCTAATGTCAAGCAATCTTCTTGCCTCGACCTCCCAAAGTGCTAGGATTCCAGGTGTGAACCAGCGAGACTGGACCACATTATTTCCCTTTGGACATTTCTCTCAACTAATTACTTCAGCAACTTTCCCAACCCATGTCATTCTCCCAATCCCTACCCACTTTGTCCACCATCTCACTCTTAGCACATGACCTTACCTTCCACTTCCCCACACAGGAGAAATGAAACGTGTGACTTCCCCAGCCCCTCCCTTCACCCTCCTCTATTCTTTCCTTTTTCTCTCCGACAAGGCCCTTGTTGTGTCCGAGTCTCCCCGACCCCACAGTGCTATGGACTGAGGTCTCCTCGGCTCCGCGCACCAGGCTCCCCCACCCTACAGGCTGACAGCGGAAGCCAGTGCTCCCGTCTCCCATCCTTGAAACGTCCTCTGGACTCTGCACGCACCGCTTCTTCCCTTCACACTCAGACTTCCTGAAGGAACAGCACGATTCAGCTCACACACCACTCTGTGCCAGCCGTGCTGAATGCAAGACAAATATCCCAGCCCAGAGGACCTG